TAACCTGGCCACCCCTCTACTTAACACCATCTTTAGCTCTTCTTCACTTTTCACATTCGTGCCTCTGCCTCATGACTCGGGCTCATTTCAGCCTTGGCAGGGTTCCTCAGATGAAATCAGAAAGACAACAGGAGTGACAGTGCCGCGCTGGAAAGTTTACAGGGGGCGGAATGGAGAGCATGTGTGTGCGTGCACGCTGAACAAATCTAATCTAATCTTCGCTGATTCATGAGCAAGCTTGTCTGCATGCATTTGGGAACCACTTCCTTTTCGGCGTATGTGCTCAGTTTAGGAGATGGAGAGTGAAAGAGGAGACAGAATGGCTTCTGACGGGAGAACACAGCGTAAACACAACTCTGCAGGACTAAGTCACAACGCCTCTTTTAGCAGGACGAACAGTTACAGTCGACGGAGCAGCTCCAGTTTATGTACGCCCTCCATCCGTTGTGACACAGTTACATACCTCAAGGGCTTGGATTCTGGTCTTTTCTCGGACAAACCACTGCTTATTTAAAGGGAATTATGCAGATAAATGAACTTCTGTTTGAAAAAAAAAATAAACAGAAGCTAGATGAGTTAACGGCTAGTCACAGGAGGACAAAGACCAACGGGAACAAATCTGTAAATATGTAAAAAAAATTAAAAAAAGAGCAACCTTGAACTGTTATGAAATGTTAGATTTAAGTTTTTAAAGGTGGTTAGAATCCACTTTGTAACTGGCCTCACTTTGACTAGTTGTTGACTTGTCAATCCAGTTTCTCCAATTCAGAGAACCATTACTAAGGAGGACACCATTTATCCTGAGATATATAACATTTCTATGGTCAAAACAAGCTATTTCATCAGCTTAATTCTTGAGTTTCAGTACCCTCCAGAACGAGCCGTTTCAGAGCACTGTCACTTTAAGAAAACAAGTTGAAGCTGGCCACGCCCAGCCCTCCCTCACTCATGCTGCTATAAGCTGAGAAGCTCTGGTATCCAGGACTCGTAGTAGAGCTAATAGGGCTTTGTTTCAGGCATGTAATTTCTAAAACCAAACACTGACAGAAAAGCAGTTTGGAGCACAAAAAAGATTCAAAGATGCATTTTTATTTAAGATGTGCCCATTAATACTTGCCTTCTTTTTATTCAGCCACATTGGAGGGTTTTTCGGCATGAAAAACTTCACACAAACATTCTTCTTCAGGATTCTTGGGACCCAAGTGCTCCAGCTCCTGGAGCAGCAAACAAACCCACACCATCACACTACCACATTAGACTGTTGGCATGATGTTTTTCCAAGATCCCGTGTTTGTTTTACACCAAATGTAACGGTGGAAAAACTTCTACGTTTGACTTTTCAGTCTTCAGAAGGTTTTCTCAGAAATTTTGATGACCATCAAGAAGTTTTTTAGTAAACGTGAGATGGACTTTTGTGCTGGTTTTGGTCAGCAGAGGTTTGTCACCTTGGAAGTCTTCCATGGGTGCCATCTTTTTTAGGGCTTTACGTGGAAAAGCACCAAAGGTGAAAGATCATCAGCTGCTGTGGCCTCCAGACTCTGCAACTCTCTCCCTTGAGCCTGAGATCAGTGGGCTCAGAGGTCTCCTTTAAAAGCGGCAGAAAACTCCTCTGTTCAGGCTGGCTTTGGTGTGACCTCATCCATTAGTTTGTTTCTCCTTGAAAGCTGACACACAAATAAACCTTTCTTCTTCCTGAATCATGAACTTTGACTTTAATCTGACCCAAGTGAAGCCATCAGAACTTTGGATGGTCACCTTAAAGTGTAGGTGTTCATTTGTACTAGTCGTCTCTCATTTCTGTGAAAACATATCAGACTTTTCTTAATGTCAGGTCAGCACAGAGGTAGAAAAAATATGAAAAACGCTCAAAGTTCAGAAGATGAATAAATAGAAAATCAAGAGTCTGGGGTGACTTTAGTGTAAACAACAAGCTGATGGTGTGACCACATGAGACTAGTTTAAGTGAATGTTTACCTCTCCTCTAAAAGGCCAAATAGTCCTCAGTGGCTCTGAAAACACCGACGTGAAGCCAAGTGCCTTCTGTAACCTCACTGGGCTGAGACATCAGGAGTGTTGCACGTGTAATTGTGCAAGTGAGCGAATGAAGAGCCAACATAGATTTTTAAGTCTTTTGAATTCAATGACTCTCATGAAAGCTGCTACAGAGTTCAGGAGTGACAGCAGAAGTAGCTGAAGCCTTTCTAAAGCTAAAAGGCAGATGTTTTTCTAGTATTAGTTCATAATAATTAGCTTCTTTCATTTCATCCTCCTGATCAAAGCCGCAGTAGCTCAGGTCTAGTGCTATGTAGGACGAGTTTCCCATACTTAATATCCTGTATTCTCCAGAGGAGCCCATCCATCAGGGAGGAACAGCTCAGATCACAATAAGCTGAAAGCCAATTAGATCTGTTTGTCATCAGTGATTTGCTCTGTGGGGCTTTGCTGCATGTTACAACCATATGCCCAGGACTTGTCCAATGATTTCCACACTGCATCAGCAGAAAGAAAAACATTTCAATCTTTTCCCATAGGTACACCCGACTTGGTTTTCTCTGGACTTTATTTTCCTGCATGTTATTACGAAGGGCGAGATCCCCATGGGCGTATTAGTCAGTGCCGTTATCATGCTCTGCTCGGTTTCAGATCAGCTTTTAATTACCTTCAGAACAGTGAAACGTACCACAAACCCAACGCTGTGCTTTTCCAGTTTTGGAATAACTAAATAAGGACAGGATCAAAGGAGGGAAAGGTTGAGCATCCCGTGTCCACGGAGAGCTTGGGAAGTCTTTTCAGCTTTTAGAGGATTTCTGTCTGTTTTTCTTGTTGGAGCCATGTCAGCTCACCAGATCCTCTGTTCATACATGGATAAATGTTCGGTCACTTGTAATAAATAGAAAAAAAAGCTAATGATGAATTTTACAGTTACACTTAATGCTCAGATTAGATTTTTAGGATTTATGATGGAAAAATAAGATTCCTTTACTATAAATACAGCAGAATTGTAATAGAGTACATGTCTGATCCTATAGAGGCGAATAGATCATCCGTAGGGCAGAATCCAAGGTTGTCTTTCAAACCGTCTCCACACGCTATTGGACAATGAACAACGTGATGTACTCACTGCTATGGAGGTCAGTCAACGAGGAAGTCCTAAGCTTTTTCTAATTGCTCCCAAGGCGCTTCACAACAAATTCAGTCATTCACACACTGGTGGGGATGAGCTACAGTGCAGCCACAGCTACCCTGGGGCACACTGACGGAGCTCGAGACTGCTGAACTCCGACACCATCGGTCCATCCGACCAGCACCAGCAGGCAAGGCGGGTTAACGCCTAGTTTATGCTTCTGCGTCAGCTCCACGAGGGAGAGGCGCACACATACTGACAGATGCTTTGCTCTCTTGACATCTCCGTCTTCTGGAGAGTGTTGCAAAGCAATTCCCCGCCAGGACAACAGAGGGCGTAGCGCTGTTCTGGGGTATCCTGTCATGTATCCGGTCCAAGATGATGCTTTCACTAGTGTGTTTGTATTGTGTTTGTTGCATTTCAGAGACTTTTTAACACGAATAAAATTTGTTCCTCCTCCACCTCCTCACGCTCTCGCCACCTCTAAACTTATGTTTCCCATCATTTTCATCCACAAATAAAACCATATCTTGTTCCTCCTCTAGTCACGGGTAAATGAAACATTCATATTTTTGGAGTTTTTCCGTGAGGTATTCTTCAAGCTGCTCCACGTCTGTTGCTAGACATCTTTGGTATTCTTTGGTTTTGAGGGCGCAAAGGCGGCAGTGCTGACAAAAGCTGCGTCCTGACCAATCACAAGCTTGCGTTCTCCGAATGTTTAGAAAAGTGGGTTCGACTCTGTCTGTCCTTGCGAGCCTGATGGAGAGCCCTCGCAAGGACGGATAATGGTGTTGCGCGTCTCCGCGCCGACGCAGAAGAGTAAACTAGGCATGAGTGTCTTGCCCAAGGACACAACAGCAGCATTCTCTGGCGGGAGCCGGGATCAAACCTACAACCTTCCAATTACTAGACAACCTGCTGTACCTCCTGAGCTACTGCTGCACAAAACCAATGGAGCTCTTTGATTGGCCAGACACAAGTGTGGCCAGAGTCCGTCTAAATTTCGAGGCCAAGTTAAAACGTTTATTTCCACATATTTATACTTTCCAGTTGGTGAGTATGCAATTCTAATAAAACTGTTCTTAAAGTAACATTTAAGAATCAACCATCTTGGTGATCCCGCCTTACAACGAACGATGCAGCGGTGGGATTACTCGAGTATTTCTGTGCCCAAGCTGAGGCAGACGTGGTCAAAGCAAACAGAAGATCTAAGCAGACCTTTGAGGCAGGAAGTTGTAAGGTGAAAAGCTGGTTTTGTTGAGCAGATATATTTAGGCCTACCTCTATTCTGGCACACAGTTTGCAGCCAAGTCAGTTTTCTGCTTCAGCGGTCAAATGTGTTTCGTTGCATTAGATTTGACTTTCTAGCTTGCAATCTCCTATTTGGGACATCATTAAGTCTTCAGCGCAAAGGGCCTCAGATATTAAACTTTAGATTACAAAAAGCATCAGCTATCAGAAAAGACAACTGGTGAAGTGTGCATTAGATATGAGACAAAAGCCATTAAGGAAGAAACAAATGGCATCAGGTGACAAAAGAGCCGTCGTTTCATATGAGAAACAAAAGCTAATATTGGGAATCTAACTGTGGTTTTTGAACTATAAATGGTTTAAAAAAGGACAATTTTAGTGGAAATGATCTTCTGGCTAAATGTTGAATCTGAATCAGAGACGAGTGCATCTGAAGTCTGATGAATTTCACCAAGGTCTGTGCGAGGGGCGTGTGCGGTGGAGAGATATGTTCCAGTAGGAGAAAAGAAGTTAATATTCTGCTAAAATCTCTTAAACATGAACCAAAGTCTCATTTAGCTAAAACCTTCTCAGACGGTCGCATCTTCACCTCAAGGCTTTTCAACAGAAACCAGAAGCCCCACCATCAACATAATTCAGTATTTTATGTTTTAGTTGCTTTACAGAGTTAGACTAAAATGACCTCATCCAAATCAGCACACTTCAGAGCATCTCGAAACACAACTGATTTCCAAAGTCCCAGAAAGAGTTTACTCTGCTTTCCTCTTCTATAAGGAAGCAGAATTGACTGCTATTTAAAACGAAAGTCAATCGTCACTCATGTTGTGGCTAAAAGCTGCTGAATCAGGACTAAATGTAGAGTCTGCATCTCTCAGCAGTCCCTGAGCTCAGCCACTTCCAACAGTTATTTGAGTATTTTGTGGTAGGGGAAGAGCGGCAGGCCTCCTGTGAAAGTAGGGACGTCCATGATTGAGATGACGTCTGCCATCTTGGATGAAGCAGGGAGGAAGGTGAGCTTGGACACCTCGCCATACGTAGAGTCACTCAGCTCTTCTTTGTCTTCTCCTTGATTTTTACCACCTTCTTCTTCACTCTCTTCAGCACCAAATCCCACCACCTTAAAGGAGACGCAGAGGAATCAAACAATGAGCATTCAAGTTTATTTTTCTTTTATGCATCAAACATAAAGATGGCGATGCTTACGTGGACACTGAGTTGTCTAGCGTTTTGTCCCCGATGCTCCTGGAACCAGGACACCAGCTCGGTTCTGCTAATTTGCTTCAGAGCATCGATCTAAACAAGCAGACAGAAAACAACAGAACCAGGCTTTTTTTACGTAGCACTCATTATGTTTACCACTTCTCTCCCTACTGCTTGAAAGCAGAATTACAACAACCCAGCCACAGCCTCGAACGAATGTAGACCGCTCTCTGGTTTTAGCTCTTTGCTTCGACTGGACTTGTTGGTGACACGACGGCTCACAGATGGCCATTACTGCGCGTGTGCCTCCAGCAGAAAGGCAGGAAGCAGCAAGGCAAGATAAAAACAATGCATCGCAGAATAAATGTCATCGACTATTAAATTTTATGTGGATGTCATTGTGACGAACCGACCAATGGTGGCAGCACTAGGACCGTTGCTCCACCTCTCATTTGTTCCTACCCAAACCACCAAAGTTGTCTAAAGCAGTTTGTGGCCACCAGAGGGCGACACATGTCTGTCCAATGCAAAATAGCTCAAGTGTCTGAAGGACGACCAGTTTTAACACTTAAAAGGTTTAAAAACTGCGTTAGTTTTGCTTTAAGGAACAGCGTGGTTTAAACTACAGTCAATAACAAAACTGGTTGTTTTTATCTTAAATAATGTTATTTTCTTCTGTTTTTGACTGAAAATCCAGTTTCAATACTTTTATCGTTCATTTTAAACGACTCGTTAAAGAAAAAATATTGTTTACATCATATAATGTTTTCCTGAACTGTTTGTTCCCTTTCTTATTGTAGCTCATCTTAAATGGATCAAGCTGAAGAAATAAATATGGGAATGTTTCTGGAGAAGACTTAAAATAAGAAAATTAAATAATAAAACGTTTACAAAACATTAAAACAAAAACGTATCGTGGATGTTGTTTTTCGAACTTTCTTATTTAAAAAGATCAAACTTAGGAAATGAGATCAGATTTTTAAAACCCCTCGGTCCTTGAACAGCACGACGTTTAGATGCATGAACTTGGCTCAGCAGGAGCCATGTTTGATGTTTCAGACCAGAGAAACACCCCAGCATCACAACTGCTGCTTCATAACAGCCCAGAATTCTTTTGGAGAAACTAAAAAGGATCGCTAGATGGCACCAAAGTTTCACAGATCCAGTATCGGTGAACGGATGAGAGGCACGGAGGTACCAGAGAGCTCTAGATGATCTAATCCTGGCAGAAGTTTGAGATTCTTCCATCCATCTAAAGTCTTTTAGATGATTTTGGTTCAAATCTCTGGACTTTTTGCTCCAGTTCAAATACAAGTGATTTACTGTATGGTACATCTGAACCAGTAACAAGCAGGAACACTGTTAGAAATGGGATGTTTGATGTTCTAAAGCACAACCGTCACATGGTAACAAAAACACCACCGAGTGTGAAGGCGAAGTAACCGAAGAAATAACACACACCACGATGAAAGAAAGCAAGAGACAAGTACAGGTTGTGTGTGTGTGTGTGTGTGTGTGAATGTTTTCTTCTCACCTCTCTGTTGAGCCTGTCAAACACATACTGCTGTGTGACCACCTCGGTCCAGTTCCTGTCTACCTCCTCCCCCAGGTGTGTGTCCTCACACTCTTTCAGCTTCACTAAAGCAGTCACCTGCATAAAACACACAGTTATTAGAACAAAATGTCAGAATTTTATGTCTAACTTAGGCCCTGTCCACACGTAGCCGGGGATCTGCCAAAACATAGATGCTTTTCTACGTTTTGGCCTGTCATCCACACGAAAACAGAGTTTTTTCACACGAAAACGGATCTTTTTAAAAACTCCGGCCAAAGTGAAGATCTGCGTTTTCTCTGTTTTGGGTGTCTGTGTGTGGACAGACAAAACCGGAGTTTTAAGGTCCGCAACGTCACTTTCCGCGGCACAAAAATGCTGACATCAAGTGTGCGACCTGTGTTTACACTAGCCGACAGCATGGATGCCCTCAGAGCTGCGCTCGCTTTATCAATTGTCCAAGCGCTTTTTGCTTGTTTGTTTTTGCAAGCGGAATTACTGCTCCTTGCGGAAGACCACAGACGAAGGACGAGGTTAAGAACGGGGGAAGTACTGCCGCCTACAGGTCTGGCATGTCCTTAACAACGTATTTATCTGGGTACGTGTGGACAGAGTTTTTTTTTAAACAAGGTGGTGTGGATGCAAGTTTTTGGAGGGGCGGATATACATTTTAAAAAAATCCCGGCTACGTGTGGACTAGGCCTAAGAAAAATTTTATCTAAATCACTTTTGGCTTCTAAAACCTTTCAAACTTCTTTATGAAACTGGGAGTGCTCGCTCACGCGCTCACACACATGCACGCTCACACACATGCACGCACGCACACGCACGCACACACACACACACACACACACACACACACACACACACACACACACACACACACACACACACACACACACACACACACACACACACACACACACACACACACACACACACACACACACACACACACACACACACACGCACACACCTGAGTGTTAAAGGCCTCCTCTGTCAAAGCGTTGAGCTTCTCTCCAAATGAAACCAAGAACTCCTCAATCTTGAACTCCACCAGCTCGGTACTGGGAGAGATGAGAGTGAGGAGATATTACAGGGTGTGGGTTGAATTTGATCCTGTTAGTCATTTATCAGTTCCACTCCCGCTATTTCCAGGGCCACATTGATAAATTGTAGCTGGGGAACGGGTGAACAGAAAGACATATCATACCGTGCTTTCTGGTTAAGATAAATCGTATCTTTAAAAGATTAAAATTGTGTTGTGGACTCACTTGAATTTAGTTGCCTGTGTTTCCACGGTGACAGAGAAGCCCAGAACACCGGAGGTGTTTCTGCAGGTGGGGTAGACATGGTAACTGCAGCAGGAGACATGAAAGACAGCAGCTGGGATTAGAGGAAGAACAGATTAAACAGTGGATTAAATTTCGTTTGCGCTTTCTGGTAAATCCAGTCTGGAAATGTATAAAATGGAAGCCCAAAATGGAAAAACGTTATTTTTGTGGAGTTCTGCAGGTTGAAAGATTACTGCCTTGCATGTTTTCACATCTCACAAAAAAACAAATAAGCTCCAAGCCGGCAGTTTTCCAAAAAGCAAAATTAATGAACCAATAAAAGCAGGCTGAAATGGGTATTACATTTTCTCTCACAGCTTTGATTTTTAGCACAGACAAAAGAAAATGTTCCACATAGAGAGGCAGTAAAAGGAAACGAGCTCTGATGGGTTCATCCTGAGCTCTACTGAACACAAACACATTTAAATGTGAGTAAATGCCGAAAAATAATCTCTATTTTGTTACAAAAGATTAAAAACAGTTTAGGAAGTAATCCTAATGTGCCGTTCATTCGTTCAAACACGGCTAATTTGAAATAAAGTTACAAATGTCAACAGAAACAAGAGAAAATCACCCCAGAGTCTCTTTAGTCCTGAGGAAATCAAAGCAGGGTTCCTCCATGTGCATCTGGAAAAATAAAAGAATGAAACATTAAAGGATGACTCAGTGAGACCACCAGCTGAGTTTACAAAATAAAAGTGCCAACAAACAGATGATTAAAACTAAAACGTACCACCAGGAGCTCCATCAGCGTGTGCTCCCTCAAGCTCTTGGGCCCCGACTAGAAGAGAAGTTTCAACAAACAGAAACGAGTCGATGTGCAGCAGAAGAACAGGAGCTCCAGCGCTGGTTTGAACGTTTAATTACCTGGTAATAAACGGTGACCTCAGAGTTGGCATCTCCCTTATTGAGCGTTTTAACTTTACAGATGTGGCGTTTCGGTGGAATCTCCACTACTCTGAACATCACCGGAACCTCTGCTGGCAGCTTGGCGAATTGCAACTTCCTGCCAACGAAGACGGAAACACGTTAATAAAAAAAACAACAAATAGTGAATGTTTGTGGGGCTGTATCCTCAGATTCAAAGAAAGACGATACAGCCCCACAACCATCTCGACAGCTTATTTAAAAGCTCAAAACACAGATAGAGAATCTCTAATAACAAAAAATAAAAAAGCAAGAAAATCTCTGATCCACGCGTCACTTTTTCAACAGAACATTCTGGATCAGCAGTTAAAATCAGGGAAATCATTTAGGAACATTGGAAAGTAGTTGAAAGTGATCCAATTCTAAAACCCATTTATTCCAAACCTCCAATGATCACATTCAAACGCGCCCACTCTTTAAAAGACAGACTAGTTCACTCTGAGATCAAAGCACAGCCAATTAACACATGGCTGCCTTCCAGACCCGTCGGAGTTTGCCGCTGCGGCCACTGCTCCAAAGCGTCGGATGCAAAAGTCTTTTTACATCCACATACAGGCAAAAATACTACATTAAATCATTTATAAACTGTAGCAGCACTCATATTGTTCATTTGTTGAAATGCCCATGCGGACTAGCTTATGTAGGACAAACAAAGAGACCATTGAAAACAAGAATATCAGAACACAAAACAGCTACACGCACTGGAATAGGGATTACGCAACAGCCCGCCACACAAGGGAATCATAGATCTGTGGTGTCCTTAAGATTCCGGGGGATGGAAAAAGTATCCACACCCTCTCGAGGGGGAGCCATTATCAACCTCCTGCTATGGAGAGAGGTACACTGGATTCATACACTCAATACCATTGAACCTGCAGGGGTGAACGAAGCACCTGGTCCATCTTGCTTTCTCTAATCAGGCGTTTTAATATTTAATCTTTAGCGTCAGTTGGATGTATTTCATCATGCTTATTATACACATCACTGTATATTTTGATAAGAGGTGTTTCAACTTGTTTAGAAATTTGATTCATTTTGGCTCATTATGTTATGGATGAACTGGTTAAGTCATCTTTTGGACGACTGGGTTGTATTAAATGGATATTTATTGGCTAATATTTTGGGGCTGACTCCGCCTCTTCCCCAGCCCAACAACCAATGAGCTAAAGACTAGTATATTTTCTGTCTAATCAGCCTCACCACACCTGTGTACATATACCTGTAATTAGATCAAGGCTTGTAACTCTGACATTCTGTCGAAACGTTAGTTCTATTATTTTGCACCTAATAAATTATAGGATTGAACTGAGAGCTCCGGCCCACTCCCCTTTTTGTTTCATGCCTGTGATCCTGGCCGTGAGAACTGGAACTCAGCTGGATGTAGCGCGGATTGCCTGTTGTTTATGTTAACATGTAATTGTTGTTGGTTTCAGTCCTGGACCAACAATTCAAACATCCAATCGAAATGTCATATCTCCACAACTCCATCAAAAAAGCACTAAAGTGAAATTTTGCTCCATTCGTGTCATTTTGCAACTAATTTAAGGTGGAATTAAAGGTGCATGAAGTGGGAATGACATCACATGGTCAAATTTGGGTACTGCAGCCCAATAAATGAGTCCTCTTTCAGCAACTGTTGCCACGTACGGATCAGCGCCAGAAGATTCTAGACGAGTGAAGACAAGTCATTCACACCACCTTCATAAGAGACAAATACATTTCACTATAACGCCGAGTTGTTGGTAATTGAAAAAAGCAGCTTGAGATAATTTTAGAGCAGACAATTTTTTTCAAATTCACCGTTATCATTGTTAGCTCAACATTAGCCTCTAGCCTTCTTTACCCGGTATTGGAGTCAAACAAAACTGATCAACTTTCTTTAGCTTCAGGGCCGCTCCTATCACTGGCTAACACTCTTTCCATAACGTTGCTGCTTCTTGCCGGCCACGCTCAAATTCCAAATGCGGGCACAGCAGAGCTTGCCAACGCAGACCTGGCAACCCAATGAGTTCCCATCTGATTGGAACCTTCCTGGTAAGGAGTCCCAAGAGCCCAATACTTGCACTGCACTTTACGGTCGTCTGTGAAGTGCACTTGGAGGTCTATATAGTCTAAAACATTCAGAGCATGACTAAACATCATTAAGCGTCTTCAAAATGACCTTCCAGTTGAAAATACTCATTTATGAGAAAAGGCACTTGAACCATTGCTCCGCCTACTTCTCAAAACTCCCACGTAGCGATGGTTTGTGGGTAGCGCCCTTGGCCCAGAAAAGGGTGGCTTCCCAACTCCGGGTCGGGGGAGAGGTCCTACCTCAAGTGGAGGAGTTTAAGTATCTCGGGGTCTTGTTCACGAGTGAGGGTAGGAGGGATCGGGAGATCAACAGGCGGATTGGTTCGGCGTCTGCAGTGATGCGGACGCTGAGCCGATCTGTCGTGGTGAAGAGGGAGCTGAGCGAGAAAGCCAGGCTCTCGATTTACCGGTCGATCTACGTCCCAATCCTCACCTATGGTCATGAGCTTTGGGTAATGACCGAAAGAACGAGATCGCGGATACAAGCGGCCGAAATTAGTTTTCTCCGTAGGGTGGCCGGGCTCAGTCTTAGAGATAGGGTGAGGAGCTCGGACATTCGGGAGGGACTCGGAGTAGAACCGCTGCTCCTCCGGATCGAAAGGAGCCAGTTGAGGTGGTTTGGGCATCTGGTCAGGATGCCTCCTGGACGCCTCCCCAGGGAGGTGTTTCGGGCATGTCCTGCCGGCAGGAGGCCCCCGGGGGCCCAGGACATGTTGGAGAGGTTACATCTCCAATCTGGTCCGGGAACGCCTTTGGGTCCTGCCGGAGGGGCTGGTGTAGAAGGCTGGGGAGAGGACGGTGTGGAGCTCCCTAGTTGGGATGCTGCCCCCGCTACCCGGACCCGGATAAGCTGAGGAAGACGACGGCCCTTGGCCAAAGTCCTCATCAATGCAGACTGGAGCGGAGTGCGGACCAAGGGGTTCTAAAAGGGTGTGGTCAACTTCTGCACTTGAGAATCGGGACAACCTATGCACTCTCATCCCTGAAGGGGATCGCACAATTCACACACAAGTGTGGAAGTGCGAGTATTGGGACAGGGTCCCTGTTTGACCATTTTAAAAGGAGAAAAACTGGCAACCATCTAGCCCCCAGGAGGAAATCTGTTTCAATGTAAATAATTAAATAAGACCAACATTTAAAAAGGCTGAAATTCACACACAAGCTCTCTAATTTTAGACATCAGTACATTTTACTGGAGTCACATTTTGCTGACTTTATTGTGACTGAAGTGCATTTGAATTGCTGCCTTTGCTGGAGTCGAGGAGACGTGACATCAGGATCGTCGTAATGCGGAGCCAAAAGAAACGCTGGCGATTGAAACCAACATGGCAATCACAGATTATGAGTTTGTGAGGGCAAAATAAATAAACCCAAGTGAAGGAGGGGATTATGGGTCGACAGCTGCAGCTGACATCCATTACTGTGTGTGCATCCATCTGATCATATGTTACTAGTGTTTTCATTCAGAGTAACGGTGGACTTACTCTGTGACATACTGCAGGAACTGCACCGACTCCTGTGGACAAAACACAATAAAGGCTAATGAGTAAGCAGTGATAAGAAACTGAAGAGCAGAAAAACTAGAGGGTGGCGTCAAATACGCTCAGCGTCGGCTGATTTAAGAGCTGACGTCAGCATCAGCAGATTCATTCTAATCATTTGATATTATTGTCAATCAGTCTACTTGTCCTGTTCCCTCACAGCGCTGCTGAAGTTCCCCTGCACCAGCCCCTCGGCGAACAGCTCGGCTCTGAAGCTCCGGCTGAACTCCATCAGCTCCTCCATGCTCAAACCGGCTGTCAGGGCCTGATACTTCTCCACCATGGACCAGCGAGAGTGCTCCAGGATCAACAAACGAACGTCCCTGAGAGACGGGGGGTGGGGGGGAGGGGGACAGCAGGTGTGGGAGGCTTTTCTGTTTCAGACTGGCACACGTTTCACCAGTAGAAGGCAACTCAGACTGAATAATGACCCATCGGCAGTGAGAAGCACAACGTACTTGCCCAGTTTGTCGGGTTTAATGAGGATGTTGAAGTAGGTTTTTTTGAGCTGCTCTGTGAACATGCTGAAGACATCGGCCGAGGCAGAGAAATCAGCCAAGTGGTCGATTATCAGGTGGAACAGCAGCTGCAGAGAGAAACATCAAAACACTGAAGATTCTGATTTGTGTGTGCACGTCTGCACAGCGTGGACGGGTGAGTTCACTCACAGGCAGCTTGTGGTTGAACCCTTTGACCCTGATGATCAGGCCGTGCTCGCTAGCCACTAACTTGTGCTCCAACTGAGCCACTTCGGCCTCGTAGGCCGGCTCTGCCAGGTTGTGGGCCAGAATGGTTACGAGCAGATCAAACAGCACGATGCTGAAGGCCGGGGATGGGAGAGAGGGAGAGAATTAAAACAGGAACATGGGTGTGCAAAATGAAGTTAGGGAGTAGAACGCATCAGAGCAGAAGATGAGAATCATGAGAGCAGGCTGGAGGGGAGGAGGCAGCAGAAGAGGATGGAGTGATAATTAAGACAGGAAGATGAATAGGTGAGGGAAAGCGGAGGAGCTGAAGGAATGAAAAGGTCAAAATAATTTATACAAAATGCAGCAGAGCAGGGAACGAATAAACTAGTGACAGAAAACTGAATTACTGAATTACTACATGCTCAGATTAAAGCCTGAACTCACTTTTTAGCAGACTGTTGGATTACAGGAGAGATTAGGTGGAATCTGATGTAGGCTGTAACAGGAGAAAGAGCATCAGGTCTCTGCATCACGTTTACATGAAACGTCTTGCATGCCTCAGAAAACACACACATACACACACACACCTTTAGGGATTTTGAACTTGTTGTCCTTCTTGTACCATAGGCAGCCCTCGTCGCTGCTGGCGATGCGGACAGGGAAGTCGGAGTCTGGGCAGTCAGACGGCTTCAGGGTGAAGTCAGTGGCTAAACAAATGCACACAAACATCATTCATCATCTGCCAGTTCTGCACAGACTCATAAATAATAGGTTAGTGTTGTTTTCCTGACGGATGCAGTAAAGGTGTCTCTTTAAAGCTGAGCTGGAGCAAAAGCGAATGTCAGAATGACCAACAAGTTTAGGGAGAACCAAAGCCGTTTCACTCATTCTCTGTCGGCTCAATGTGAAAAATTAAGTTGATCTGGAGGAACAAAACGTCAGCAAGCTTGGGTTAGAAATAAGATAAACACTTTAGCCACTGGTATAACACAGGAGTTGTTATTTTTTAAATCTTTTGATGCTCTGGGAAAAACCATCAGCTTCTTCAAAAAGGGATTAAAGTCGAAGTCTGACGCAGCCCAGGAGGGAGCCGCGGGAAATGTGACACGACTGCAGCAACGGCCGCTGACTGATTCAGGATCAGATGGATTTAAAGACTCAGCCCACTGTTCAGCTGTTTTGTTTTATTTTTTATTCACACCAAGGCAGGAAAAACAATACCTGAACATCAAAGCCAGAAAATTGCGAATGGATTTTTTTCCCCAGCAAAAACTTTTCTTTAAAAATGTATTTTGTGGAAAAACAAATATAACAAGGTTTCCCACTGAGCCATTAAATAAATGAAAAAGTAAATTGAAAAATAAAATATTGGATTCAGGTCAGCTCGAGTTTGACAGCACAGGAACAGAAACCTTTCAGAATGAAGCTGGATTACTAACGTCCATATGAACCAGTAACACAAACATTAGCCTTTTAAAACCACAAACAAGTCATCATTATTAGTGTACATGAACCCTGATGTCATCTGTAAGCCTGCAGCAGCTTTAGCTTCTTTCATTCTGTCATTTGGAATAAACCTTTAATAAAAGTCTAGGTGACATTTTCACTAGAAAATAAACGGAGAACTTTCGTAAATAATGCAATAACAGAAGTGTAAAGGTTGCAAATCAGGGCCAATCAAGACGTTACCCAAACACTCATGAAGCTAAGGGTAAGTGGATAAGACAGTCACGTTTAAATACTTTAACTACGGATGCCCCAATCAGCATTCTAGGCTCCCGATCCCGATCTGATCCTTTAACTTCAGTTTCGAGTCCCGATCCAACAGTTTGCCTTTACTATTGAAATTTATAAAGCTGAAACATATTTATAGCAAATAACTCAAGTTAATTTTCTGAGACTCATTTAAATGATAAGCATTACCATTATTGTTGTAAATCTCATGAAATCAACTTCCTGTTTTAAGACCAGTTGTAAAATGTTACATTTCTGGTAGCTTGATTTTGCGATGAATTGCTACTGAAGATGGACTCCAAAGTACGAAAAAGGATGGATGGTGTTTGGTTACAGAGGGCACAAGGTGGGCTGCAGCCAGTAACGGCAGCTCTCGCTCCGTTACTCTCTTGTTATTCTTTGTTTTTCCTTCTGTGCGTGTTTTTAATGCCCTTAAGGTGGGCACAGCTAACGCTAGCTCTCTTTAGCAGCTAACTTCTCCACATGAAACGTCGGTTCTGCCTCCAGAATTATGGTGAAACGAGAAATGAAGATGCAGCAGAATTAAGCTCTGGAGAGGGAACGGACATATAAACAATATCCACCCTTCATGATTATGGGAAATGTCCGCTTTCTCCCCGATAAAATGGACGAGCTCTCAGCGCAGACTCGGCTGCAGCGGGACTACTAACAGCCTGATGTTTTTTTATGGAGACGTGGATGAACAAGCTCATGGCAGCCTGAGGTTTCCCTGGAAGGATTTAAACACCTGCGAGCCGACAGGAGAGTGAAGCAATTCGGTAAATGTCCCAGACGTCTTGAGAAATGTAAATCTTCATACGTTTGGTTGACTTCTTATGGAAAACCCGACCGTAAGCAGGGCCAGACACGGGAAAAGGAGCCCTCTACAGTAGTTTTTCCCTCAGAAGTGGCACATGCTAACGTGCTCATAGTCTATTTTGGGAGATCGGCAAGACTCGTCAGTTATAATTGGAGATCTCCGATCATTGAAAAATATGAAAAAATTGGCCCGATCCTATCCAGGGATCTAGCTTTGACTAATACACACGTTAAACATCTCCTAAAGAGGTTTCTCCACCCACCGATGAACTTGTTCTCTGCAGGAAGGTGGAGATCACTGCTCAGCTCCATGTTTACCGTCCATCGCTGCATCCACTCCTGCTCTATATCTGTGTAGCAGAGTGCACACAATGTTTCCCCTCAGCAGGCCTGTGCATCTTTAAGCTGCAGCAGACCGACTGAAATCAGGCTGAAAACAAACCCTCCACGCTGTACTGTGTTCCAAACCACTTCTCCCTGAGGGGACACCGGCCCTCGTGTCCCGGTGACAGCAGCATCAGGTTAGCTCTCTCTGGAGTCAGGAGGGACAGGGCTGCACCGATCACCTACACACACACACCAACACACACACCTGTCAAGTCTGCAGCAAACAAGGAGAGCTGTTTCCATTATGAGTTATCTAAACTGCTTCTACATGAGTGAATACAACTAGCCGTCACTGATCGTCACAGAAAACTTAAAAACCCAGAATTAGTTCAGTTCAAGGTAAACAACAGACACCCGACTCCAGTGAATCATTTCTGATATAAAAAGATCAAAAGGCTGTCGCATCAGAAGGAACATTTCCAGATCTGAGTGAGCCATTCCATTATCCCCTTTGTCTAGAAAAAGGAAATAAAACCCTGAAAGCGGTTAATTCCCAGCACAACTGAGCTACTTACCTCTGGATTGTACTCAAACATCAGTTGATCTCCAGTCAGGAAGTCCTCCTTAGGGAACAGCTGCATGTTTTCACAAACGTCCTCGACATACTCTATTGGGTCAATCTAACAAGTATAGCAAACAGATCATTTGTCACTCACACATCTGCACCTATCTTACACTGCTGCCCCTGGCTGTTTGCATTCTCACCTGCTCCTGATAGTGAAACTCATTCGCCTCGATCCTCTGGATCTCCTCATATATTCTGAGAACATCAGCAAACAAGCAGAGTTTTAAACTTTACACAATCAAGGCAAATGCTCAGATGTCAACACTCAGAAAAACACAGTTGGAGCAACAAAAATATGACAGAGAAACACAGATGCAAACACAAAAAGGTCTTGTGTCCTTTAGTGAGTCTGAGTGTTTACTGCCGTGCCTCTGCTGGGGTCCAAGTGTCTGCAGCATCTTCAGATACTGGAAAACCAGATGAGTCACCTGGTGAATGGCACAGACACACAAACAAATGCTTTAATATTAATATTGATGAAACAGGGAAGATTTACTATATTTTTACAGTTTTTAGCACATAGCTTCCTCTCCTGATCCTTTATTCATAAACTACACTTCCTCAACTTTCTGCTAATATTTGAGAAGGACACTGGAAAAATGAACTTTCCTGCAGACCTTTTATTTAACAGGTGAATGGATGAGATTTCATCTGTGCAAAGGCGTAATAATCTGATGCACCTCGACACACGCGGCCGCTCCGCTACACTGGAGCGGCCAAGGAGTTGTTATTTCACCCCTGATTCTGACACAAGACAAAGATGGTTCACACCACTCCAGTCCCAAACCACAAGCGAAGTCTAGCACCATCAGAGGGCGAGACAAAGTGAAAGTCACATGTTTTTGCCACATCTGGTTAGTTTTGTTCACAACTGTCTGGCTAAACAGAACAGTCAAGCTCCATGCATTAATCTCACCCCATCAGGTGGCACTTAAAATATGTGTTGAGGATCACTCCAAAGGAGTGATGCCGACACCAGATTCTACCCTAAAGTCTGTAAAACTGACCAAGTCATATCCATTTGTGCATTGGCTAATACTAGGGATGTTATCTGTATCGGTTTCTACTCTTTCAATAACACAACTGTCAGCATGAATTGAGACCTGTTCTCCCATCACACAAGGAGGGAAAAAAAGTAAAGACAAAGACTTTTTATGCCTAAAAGGTGGTAAGAAAAATCATAACTGTGATCTAATGTGTTAATCACATTATTTTATGTAATGTTTAATGGAAAAGTGTATGATTTTATGAAGTGAGAATGAGAAACATGAAGTGAAGTGATTTTCACATTCGGTAACGGTTGTGTGATTACACTGAAATTATCACCGAGTCTAAAAATGATGTTAAAATGACATTTTAAACCAGGGGTCCCCAAACCTGGTCCTGGGGGGCCGGTATCCAGCAGGTGTAGTGGTTTTTCTGCTCCAACAGACTTGATTCAGTGGTTGAAACACCTGAGCAGCAGCTCACCAGGCTCTGCAGAAGCCTGTTAATTAGCTGCTGATTGAAATCAGGTGTTCAAACTAAAACATGCAGGATACCGGCCCTCCAGGACCAGGACTGGGGACCCCTGTTTTAAACCAATAGAATTGTTTAAGTAAATGAATAGGCATGTTTCCATGACGAGAACTCCAAGGTAGTTCTTGGGAACTTGACCAGGAGGTAGGATGTCCCAGTCCTCTCAGCTGTTGTCTCTCCATTCAAGTTCAGCCCTTTCAGAACTTGCACAGACATCAGCGTATCACGACTGCTTTGGCAGTGAGTGATGTCACTGATCAGCCCCAAAAAGCACCCAAAGTAACATTAGTAATATTAAAAGAATTTTATGGAAGTTTATCATCATTTAGTGTTTTGTGAGACAAGCCTCGTTAAGTCTGTGGGGGAATTCCACAGAGTTTTCCGGTCCGGAGTTAGATTTTAAATGCAATCGGTGCTTATTTGTTTTTGCTTCCATTCTGCTTCACCAGCTACTCTTCTCATTTTACCGCTGACGGTTGTTTTGGACGTCTGCTGATGTCATTTCCTACTGAGTTACAACCAATCAGCGTGAGTTAACAGGAGGTTCCGCTCAGATACTCCACCGGGCCGTTCTGAGTACCTACTCCAGAGCAGGTACTCAGAAGGTTCCTGAAAACGGTCTGAAAAAACGTCCATTTGGATGGCCCGGCCAGGTGGAGACACGGGGTTCCTGTAAATCTACCCTGAAGTTCTTGTAGTGGAAACATGCCTATTGATTAGTAAAATAAGGATGTATGTTTTATGTGTATAAATAAGTACATTGCTTAGCATAAATGAGTACACCCCACTACATTTGTCAGAAAAACTTTAGTTTACTTTCAGAATCAACATTTTCTATGAGATACCAAACTACACAACACTCCCACTAATGTGGACCATTGGTTGCAAAAAAGATGTGTTCATTTCCACACACAGAAAAGTGATTTTCCAAACAAATCGATTAAAAATGAGTACACCCCAATTATAGTTTTAGGAGAAAAGCCACATTTAAGACTACACATTTTAAATTAACAGGCATTCAGCCACAGGTGAGTCTAATGATTCCTGTAAGAGGTGTCCAGCAGACAGGTGACTGTAAAAGGGCATTACTTAACAAAGAAAAGCCCTTCCTATTTCATGCTGTCAGCAACGGCTCCACATGGAAGACAAATGTCCCAAAATCTGAGAAAGGAAATAATTTCTATACACAAAAAAGGTGATGGCTACAAGAAGATCAGCAAAGCTTTACATATCAGTCAGAATACTGAAGTAAAAGTGATCCAAACATTTAAGAAAGGTGGAAGTTTAACTATCTTACAGAGATGTCCACGGAGGTTAACATCCGGACGGAGCGTCTTCTGATGAGAAGGGCTGAAGAAAATCACCAAGCGAGTTCACTTCAGTTAGCTAAAGCAGTAAAAAGCCAAACTGGAGAGACCGTTTCCTGTGACACCATACTGCGCACGCTGCAGAGGAATGGCATGCATGGGCATCGTCCACGAAGAAAGCCTCTCCTAAAGCTCATGCACAAAACAGCTACCTACCTAGGATTTGCTAGGGCCCATGCTGAAAGAGACGAAGACTACTGGGACTCTAAACTCTGGAGGGATGAGACAAAGACCACTGTTTTTCACTGTGGCGTCGTAAAGGTGAGGATTTCAAAGAGAAATGCATGGTGCCTGGAGTGAAACACGGAGGTGGCAATGTCCTTATGTGGGGCTGCATGACTGCTACTGGTGTTGGGCAGCTGCCTCTCATTGATGGTATCATGGACTCAACAATGCACTGCTCTCTCTATACTGAAGGAGATGATGCTGCCATCACTCTCAAACATCCCTAGCTGATACCATTCCATGGTAGGTGATGATAATTCATGTGAGCTCTACCTGGATCCTGTTTAGTGGTCCAATAACAGAAATACAAACACCATAAGGAGTAACAATCACTGGCTTTGAAAAATGAGTTAAGAAGTTAAAAAAAGAAATGATTAAATAAAGTTAAAACATGATATTAATGCAGGGTTGTTTACATGAGCAGTTTAAATGAGGGGTATTTACCATTCCTGAATGGTGATGCTTTTGCAGCTCTTTTTTTCATGGTTATTCAACTCTAAACCTCTGGCATTTTATTGAAACGCTCTGACATTTCTGGGAATGCGTTTGCTTTATTGCTGCGTTAAGAGTGGAGATCGATTCCATTGTAACGTTTGTACGCTAAAGCATGCAGGTTCTGCCGCCGGCTGATTAGCTTAGCTAGTATTAAAAAAGTGGAAGCACTGCAGTCTCACTAATTAACAAATTATGTCTTGTTTACAGTGAGGTTATGTGCCAGACTATTTCTTGGTCGAGACCAGTTACCAAGCAACCGGTGGAGAATGCAGAAAAGGTCACTGGCATTGACCTTGTTGCAAGGAGCGAGAAAGTGAATGACAAGAACAATAATATACTTCACATGGAAACAGCTTAATAACAGCAACTAAAATGTTTAAAAAAAACACAAAAAATCCATTTCTTTAAAACTCAAAAACACAAAAATGATTTCATGGTGCCAACTGAATAAACAAAAGTGATTCCTACATTTATTCTGACTTTAGCTTGACTGTTTAGACACGGTTTAAACTGATTATTTACAGACATTCAGGAAAAAACTGTTCTGGAGTTATTTAGGGACACAAATTTGTTGACAACATTGCAATGCTGTTTTAAAGATGTGGAACACTGAAAACCCACTTTTTTTACATCTTATTTTCGATTATTATTGGTCACTCTTGAGTTTTTCATGCAGGCTGATTGTAAAAATAGTCTCCCACATGTATCTCCAACATTAGCTTCTGATAGAAATAGATGTGAAACACTAGGATCTGCAAAGCCTGACAGATCTGCATCACACTGTCACTTCACATTCACGGACTCACCCATCTCAGCTCACGCTGGGAAAGGTAACTGAGTGCTCAGTGCTAACCGAGATAACTTAGCACTGGTACCTCCCCAACATAGCAGAACTGATTCACCTCCTTCTCAGTGGTGCCACAGCTGCTTCCGTACATCTTATGAACACTCTCGGGCTCAGGGAGAGGCCGAAAGGGAGGACGAGATACTCGAAACACCTCCCTAAAAATGCAAATCTGAGATATTTTCTAGGAGGCAGATAAATCGGGATGTGAAAATAAGCATCTTTCAGGTCGACTGAAGTGAACCAGACTCCCGGGCGGAGAAAGCGCAGTAGAGAAGCGTCCGTCAGCATTCTGAACTTGTATTTTCTGAGATGTCTGTTCAAACTCTGCAGGTCCAGAACAGCTCGCATTCCTCCGCCTTTCTTCGGAACCAGTAAGTATCTTGAGTAAACCCCACTCCTGCTTTGCTCTGGAGGGATTTCTCTTATCGCTTCTTTCTCTAACAGTGAGGACATTTCCTCCTGTAGGAAACGAGTGGCTTCTCCCTTGGCTTGTGATTGAATCATGCCTATAAAGCGAGGGGGAACTGATGCAAACTGCAGCCTGTATCCTTTGCTTACTGTTTTCAGAACCCAGTCTGATTCCATGCATTCCTCCCAATCTTTTATTCTCAGTGACAGCGGGCTGACAGGCCCCTCCGTCATGTGTGGAACAAGCTCGCCCTCTAGTGGATCTGGGGTGAAACGCGAGTAGATTTGTACTGCGCATGCGCGGGGACCGAGACCGGAGGCAGACGTGTTTTAATGGGGGTGGGGGGGGGGTGGGGGGGGGGGTGGGGGGGGGGTTAGGAAATGAGTAGTCTCCGCCCCTTGATTCATTGATCTTTTTTTTTCAACTTTTTTAGCTGCGCCCTCGGCAAACTGCCTGGATGTGACAGCGTTGACATTTTTAATGTTTGAGAACATAGAACAGTGCTTGTGAGACATGTCACCGGGCCATCTTGGTTGCCTACGGGAATAACACATTGTCTCTTTGGGG